TGTTTCCTGTCGTTCTCAGTCACGTGCGTTCCGTATCTCGTATGAGGGACAAAAAAATAATAACACATTTCAACCTGGAATATACGAGAATATATACGTGAAGCAAAACAAGAATGTGTGACAATCCCGCATTTTTCGTAAAGACTTTCCACCGGTGTTGAGAGATCAAAACTATGTTTTACCCTATACCAGAAGTGAGGACATTTAAGATGGCTGCGCCCTTGAGGAAAAGGTGTATAGCGATTCTCTCAAAATGTCAGAAGGAAAAAACTTGACACGAGCCATGTGCTCGAAAACAGCACGTCTGAATGTCTGTGCATTGTACAACGGGTTCTGTACAAAAAGCGAGCTACAAGAGAGAGAGAGAAAAGGCTCTCGTGAAAAGGATAAAGACAAAATCGTATAAATTTGGTCTTGTATCAAAACGTTTATTGATTGTTCATAAACGGGTAAATGTGGTTTTAAATTCCCAAATATATCTCTGACGCAAGCACAACAAGTGTTTGTTAAGCGCAAATATAATATGTGTTTATATTTTTCAATTTATTGATTTCGCGTGTTAACCACATTGGCGCTGCAAGCGAGAAAAGCAAGCATGTCATGCTGGGCCGACAGCGCGAGTGTCGCTGAGCTCGTGTCCGCCTATGACTTAGGTGCCCCCCAGCGTAGGAGCCAATGCTCTAAAACTACTCATTCTTATATTTCGTGCTGTTAATTTGCCAACACCTTCTGGTGTTGCTACAACTGCGGTTCCCACAAACTTCATTATTTTTCGAACTACCTAAGAGTTCAAAGAATGATCTCCCACCTTCCCATTCCAGTCATAGTTGGGGTAAAAACATTTTTTCATATATTGAAATGTATGCCAAAAAATTATGGAGTGGTTGATGTAGTTTCGTTATCTGCTACAGTACGGTGCTTTTTATCCTTTGGGATGGCGCGCGAGCGACCGACATTGGCGGAGGGACGCTATTAATGTGATATTAGAAGGCATCGTGATGAGATTGCAACTGGAGATCAAAACGCAGCACTCATACAAGGCTACCAGAGACAACTCAAATCAACATATGCAAAAGCAGCCTAGAAATTAATCTCCTAGGCTCCCTATGTAGTGCTCGCTTTTTCTTGCGCTTTGTCACTTATTTAGATTGTTTAGTGTATAGTGTAGGGGGGCGCCACGAGCGGCCGATCGGGGTGGACGCGTCGCGTCGAGCTCCCGCTTTTTGGCCCTTTTCTGACCTTTTCTTCGGTTTCTTCGAGCTTTTTCTTACTACCTGTCTTTTCGGCATGGTGAGCGTACCCTGTGGACCCTTTTGTGCATGGTGTAGGCGTGTTTTTGGACTTGTTTCGCCCAAACCTCCCTCCCGCACGTTGCGGGAGGGAGCTAAGCCTACTTCACGCCGGGAAAGCATCGGCGGCGTGCGTGCGCTGCCCTCCGCCGGGTGCGTATGGATACAGCTCCGTTGAGTGATACTGCAAGCTCTGAGATCACCAAGAGCCAGCCTACCGATGAAGGATGGACGACGATCGTCCGCGGTAATATTAACCGCACCGTGAAAGAATCCATGGCGGCCCGGGCTGTGAAGAACGAAGCCGCCGTACCGAAGAAACAGGATGGCGGGGCTGCCTCGGCTCCTGCCGTCAAGAAGCGGCCCACCGCAGCCAAGAGACGGAAGGGTAAGAGGACGATCCCTCTTCCTCCTCTTCTTATGGGGTTTAAAGTCACGTTCCGACCCCGGAAACTCGACTTTGCCCAAGTTTCGGCAGCCGACGTACTGTCAGCCGTTGTCTCGCAGATCGGCCTGTCGCCGCGCGAAATCTGCTCCCTCGACAAGTCTCGCATCAACCCGCGCAGTAACACGATTACGGTCAGCACGCCGGACGAGGACAGGCAGCTAGCCTATCTGCAAATTCGGTCACTGGTGATGGGTGGTAAGACGCACGAGGTCACGACTCACATGGCCACTCGAAGCGACTCGACGCGAATAGTCGTACCGAAGGCCCTCTCCTTCGAAGGAACCGAGGATGCGGAAAACACCCTGCTCAGCTGCATAGAGCAGAACCCGCAATGGCAGGTACTCGCAGCTCGACGCATGGGCGAGTCATGAGCGCTACTGGTTACCATACGAGGCAAGAGGCTCCCGACATACTTCTACTTCAATGGGTTCACACTCGCCTGTTTCCCGTACTGAGATAGAATCGAGGCGTGCGTCAACTGTAGACGAACTGGTCACCGGGCCGACGTGTGTCCCATGCCACCCCTAGAGCAGGTGCCACCGCTGCGGAGCCCAACACCCGTCACAAAACGAAGATGGCTCGCACTACGAGTACCAGCCCCTGTGCACCATTTGCGGGGGCAGGCACATCAAGGCCTCCAAAGAATGCTCACATCGCTATGTTCGCCGCCCTGAGGATCGCGGACCGGCGCCGACGGAACCTGAGAAGCAACGACGGCGGTCCCGCAGGTCCCGCTCGCGAGACAGCAATGGCGGAGAGCGAGACTCTCGAGCACGCAGCCGCTCGGTCTCTTTTCCTCCCCTAGAGGGCAGAGGCCGAAGCGCTTCCAGGAATCGAAGTTTCTCGAAGAATCGCAAGCCCAAGGAAGACAGGACGGCGTGGGCGTCTGCATCTGCAGCCGGTGCTGAGTCCGCGCCCGTCAAGGAACTAAGACGGCAGATCTCCGACCTTCAACGACAACTAAAGGCCCATACGCACATTCGCGTTTGAGCGCGGTGCGTTCCGTAGCGGCAAGCGGACGCGTTGCGTTGCGAAGACCGCTTGCGCCAAACTTGTACGCACAGTTGCGTTGACACGCAGTCAACCGCAGTCAAGAGCCAATAAGAACGCGCTATCGTCGCTAGTGGCTCACCAATAGTAAGCGAAATCCAAGGCAACATGGCGGCGCACGGCGACAGCGTCGAAGCGTTCGATCTTGGGACAATCTCGCCGGCTTCCCCGACGTTTTGTCAAGCTTGAACCATCGCAGCCTTGGAAAATACAGTCCCTACCGCTCCCCAAAACGAAAAAGCAAGCACTGCGACCGGCGAACCGGATACGTCTCGCCGAGTCGGCCGGAGCGAACACGTCACCCCCTCTCCTCTTTCGGCTTCTGATTGGTCGAACGCGCCCGAACGCACCGCAACGCTTCGGAGAGTCGAACGAGTCTCTACTCGCTTGCGTCGCGCTACCGAGCGTTGCGGGAAGGCGCGCGTCGGTCCGCAAGCGACCGCGCCTGGCCGCAAGGACTCCGCAACGCACTCACACGCGTTCAAACGCGAATGTGCGTATGGCGCTTAAAGGGACACTGACAGGGTGTTTATGCTCGCCGAGGTTTCTAGTTATACGTGACATATGAGAGCTCAACTACCCAGAACAGAATTTGCGGCTCGAAATTCGGTTTCTTTCCGCCCGAAAACCGCCGATCAAGAATTGGCCGGTTCGAGTCTCGCTCACTCTCTTTTTCCCGGTCACGGGCCGTTTTCTAAGATATCGATGCGACCACCAAATTTAATCAAAGTCGTGGGTCACTGAAGGCACACACTCAATATTAAAAATAGAAAAAAATATGAAACCCATTTTTTGTGGCTTCTAAAAAGCTGTAATTACGTTGATTGAAAAAAAAAGTTCCACAGACAACCGGAAGCATTCTGTGCGTTCGTCGTTTCGCGTATCGTGGGACTCGCGGGGACGGCGATGGCAGCAGACGACGGGCGTGGGACCTCAATTTCAGAACTGTCGTTCGCGGTACCGGCGAATTCTGTCTACCGATAAAAGAGAAATTTGGGACTGATCAAAATAATTGGTATTCATCCCGTACGACACGCCCGGCCACCAAGCCGATTTGCACGAAGACGTCGCCGAGCCGTCGCTCCCTTCTCGTGGCTGAAGACAACGCTCGCGCAAACGTCAAGCACGACGTGTCTACTTCGAGTTGAATATGCACGCGTACGATTTCTTTACTAGGTGCGAATGTCCCCAAAGCGTGGTGCTTCCCGACCTCGACCCGGGAGTGCTTTTGCTAGAGAAAAATCGACAGCAAACTTTCCAACTTACAGTTTACCGGATGAATTATTACTAAGGAAAGAGATCCACCAGAAACGAGATGACCCAGTAGCTCAACAATAAAGAAAAAAAAAAACCAGTAGCTCAGTGGGAAAGACGTCCGCTTCACACGCGGTAGGACCGGGTTCGATCCTCCGTGAATTTTTTTTTTTTTAAACATTTTTCGATGTTTACATATCTTTTTCTTTTTTTTTACAATCATCACTGAAGAAACGAACAAAAAAAAATTAAGCAAATGTTGTGGACGATACTTCGCTGAATTAAACGGTATGGGATTTCCGTTTTGACGCCTGCGAACTCAATGTAATCACTTTCCACAAAATGCAAGGAGCATATAAATCAGGTAGTGTCCGCTTTCCGAGGTGCCCGTAAATGTTCTACAGGAATTGCAGCCAGCCATTGGTCCCGATCCCGTTGATCTTTCGGAAACTTTCCGAAAGATCTTTCGCACAATGCCACTTTTTTTCGGATGCTGGACATGAGCAGCTCTTCACGCAACATCTTGGGTTTATTCTTTTCGGAGCCGATCATGGAAATTCACCACGGGCACTCACTACTCATCTCGAACTCCTTAATGTACAAAACAACCCATCTTGGAGTACAGAACAACGAGCGGAACAAACATAACTGCGAAAGAATCGCACGGCAAGCAGTTCCCGCACGCCGCATGTCGTGTCGTCTGCTACCGGAGAGGAGAAAAAAAAAAAAAACCGCACGGTCGGTTGTAGCCACGTGACTTCCGCCAGTCACTCTCTTCTCTCCACTTCTCCGACCTCCGTCGGGTTTCGGTTTCGGTTTCGAGCAGTTGCGTCTTTTGGCTTTATTAAAGAAATTCGCTACTCTGTGGCAAAATATTAATTGGGTAGTCCTCCGACACCATAATAAAGCGCCTGGCAAAAAATAAAAAACAAATTTTGGGGGGTGTCAGTGTCCCTTTAATGGAAGCGTGCGTCCCCAAACCGGCCACTTCAGCGCAAACCACGCTTCTGCGGCCTCCGCCCCCAGCGCCACCCGCGGCCAACATCCAGGATAAGCCGCTTAACTCCGAAACGTCACCTGTCCACGTAATACCGGAACCGCTTTCGGAACCGAGGCCGCTACCGGAAAAGAAACCTCGCAAGCGCCAGGCTACCAAGGCTGCACCACCTCCACTAACAGAGAGAGACGTCGAAATAGACGATGACACCTGCAGCGTGGTCAGCTCAGCGACTGTCCTGGTCCTCGAGCAGCGGCTGGAAGCTCGTCAGGAAGCATTCACACAACGCATGGAATCCCGGCAGACCGCTCTCGAACAGGCGATCGAGGAAATCCGGCACACCCAGCAACAGATGCAGCAACAGATGCTCCAAATGCAACAGCAGATACCACAGATCCTGCAAGCACTCCCGCTTATCCAGGAACAGCTACGGAAACTCCAGCTCCAACATGGCTAGACGCCGGCAACGGCAGCAGCAACCCCTGCGAGTGTGGCAGTGGAACTCCAGGGGTCTCGGTCGCAAGAGGGGAAACCTGCAGCTCCATATTCGCAACGCCGAGCACATGCCTGATGTTCTCGCCTTCCAAGAATCGCACGATGGCGTCCATTTGTCGGGTTACGTTCGCTTCGAGGTCCCCGTCGAGGCAGCAGTGAGAGGGCCGCGCGCATCGAAACCTGTCCATACTTTCGTCCGAAGAGGCATACCCACGATCCAACACGAACCCGTAGTTGACAACGTGCCGCACATCCTGCTCGAAGTTCTGCCCAGACGCAAGGAGCAGCGCCGCGTCTTTCTAGTTAACGTTTACAGCCCCCCGAAGGATCAATCGAAGGCCGCGGCTATAATCCTCGCAGAAGTTCTCCGTGTCGTCAAAGGCACACCCTTGCTTGTCGTGGGCGACTTCAATGCCAACCACGCTGAATGGGGGCACCTACACACTCTACCTAAGGCCGCGTCCATCCAGGAGTGTGTAGACCAGCACGACTACACCATCTTGAATGATTTTCGCTATCCGACCCGCATTGGGAACACCGTCTCCAGAAATACGTCGCCGGACCTCTCCATGACGAGAAAGATTGGTGAAGTGTCGTGGACGAACACCGGCGTTTCCCTTGGCAGCGACCACTATGTTCTCGAGATGCTTGTGCCGGTCGAGGGAATCTCGGCCCCCGCAAAACGCAAAGTCCTGGTCACGGATTGGGACGCTTTTCGCCGCAACAGGAATGCGTCGGCTCCGACCACCATTGAAGACCTTCGCGGTTTGACCGACGACCTACTATCCTGCGCGGAGTTAGTGACCGTCGAGAGCGACGCCTCCTCGACCTGGGGGTCAGCGACTCCAAACTCTGGCACATGTGGCAAGCTCACCCCAGTCTTCAGGCCAGATAGCAAACACAGGCGAGAAGAAACGGAAAGCTCCGCAGGCGCATAGCTCGGCTGGAAAGAGATATCGAGATTTATGCGGACCAGCTAGATCGGCAGCAATGGGGACAGGTGTGTGACGGTCTCAACGGCAACCTCCATCGCAAGGACACTGGGTCGCTGCTTAGACACTTGATGGATCCCACGACTACCAAAACGGCGCAGCGGACCGACCTCTCCAAGGTCCTACACTCACACGGGGGCAGTACGGCTGACCTTATGGAGGAACTCCGAAACACCTACCTTCCTGTTTCCACAGAGCATGAAGAGGCCTTTTTCTCGTACACCGGGTCACCAAACCCCGAGCTCGACGATGATATAATCGAGGCCGAGGTTCGGAACGCGATGGAACAACTGCGCGCCATATCGGCGCCGGGCTCCGACAGGATTACGAACAAGATGCTCCGGAACTTGGACGACCGTTCGGTGACGGCCCTAACGGCCCTCTTCAACGAGGTGTGGCGAGCGGGATCGGTGCCCTCTACATGGAAGCACGCCGTCGTCACTTTCATTCCGAAGCCCGGAAAAGAGCTTTCGGTCTCCAATCTCAGGCCGTTTTCTCTTACATCTTGCCTGGGCAAGTTGCTCGAGCACGTCATTCTCAACAGACTTCAAGCCTACGTGGAAGACAGCGACCTTCTACCGCACACCTCGTTCGGTTTCCGAACGCACCTCTCTACCCAGGACGTGTTCCTGCAACTCTCACAGGATATCGTCGAGAAGAAGAGGGGAATGCAAGCCTTGCTGGCCCTCGACCTCCAGAAAGCGTTTCAGAACGTGAAGCACGAAGCCATTCTCAACCGGATTTCTCGGCTGCACCTCGGGCTCCGCACCTTTGCGTACGTGAAGTCCTTTCTCACGGGACGCACTGCAGAGATTCGCCTGGGAGAGGACGTCTCGCCGACCTTTCGAGCCTGCGTGGGACGAGGTACGCGCCAAGGGGCAGTACTCTCGTTCCTCTTGTTCAACTTCGCAATGATGGACCTGCCAGAAAAGCTGACCGTTATCCCCGGCCTACATCATTCGCTTTACGCAGATGACATTACTCTTTGGACTGAGGGCCACGTATTACAAGTCCAAAGCGCGCTCCAGACGGCCGCTGATGTCGTAGTAGACTATGCCAGATCCGTCGGCCTCGAGTGCTCCCATGCCAAGTCGGAACTCCTTGCGAAGAGGGGCTACCACGAGCGCATTTTCCAGGACGAAGTTCAAGTTCTGGTCAACGGCAATCGCATCTCTGAAAGCGACTCGGTCAGAGTTCTCGGTATGCACCTAAGAAAGAATTTGTCAAACGCAGACGGCATTCTTCGAATTGGCAAGACGGCCAAGAGCACGGCGCGTCTCATTAGACGTATCGCCAAAAAGCGAGGCGGGGTCAAGGAGGGCGACGTTTGCCGCATAGTGCACGCATTTGTCGTCAGCCGCGTTTTCTACGCGGTACCCTACATGCGACTCACGACAACCGACAAGAAGAAGCTCGATTCCATCATAAGACAAGTGTACAAGTTGGCCCTCGGACTCCCAATGGCCACGTCTACGGACCGCCTCATGCAACTTGGAATACACAACACGGTGTCCGAACTCGTCGAGGCGCACCGGAGCTCTCAAATCGTGCGCCTCTCCAAGACGCCTACCGGGCGCGCCGTCCTGAACAGGCTGGGCATTGAGCCGGAACCTCTGCAAGAGGCCCCGGTCGACGTTCCGAAGACGATTAGGAAAGTCTTGGAAGTCCGCCCGGTACCGCGGAATATGCACCCTCAACATCACGAAGAGCGGAGAAAGGCGAGAGCTGAAGCCCTCAACAAACAGCATTGTAACAACTCTGGCGTCCTTCACGTGGACGCTGCACTGTATCCGGGCGGCGCATCTCGTAACGCTTGTTTCGCGATCGCCGTGGTAAACAGCGACGAATCCACGGTCGCCCAGGCCTCCGTGACCACCGAAGCCACTGCAGTGGCGGAAGAGGCGGCCGTTGCGCTGGCCCTGGTCCACGCGGGCCCCCTCTCAACGACGATTACCAGCGACTCCAAGACGGCAGTCCGCAACTTCGCCAGAGGCAGGGTGTGCGCGGTAACAGAACGCATACTTCGATCCTTCAAGCCCGGCTCCGACCGCACCAGGCACCGTCTGGTGTGGGTCCCTGCTCACTCGATTCACGAGGGGAACAAAACGGCACGCGCAACGGCAACTCGAGCAACTTCCCTCCCAATGCCGGCCGGCACGCTGCCAAGTTCCCTTAGCGGCGTCGACGAGGCGGCGTCCCACCACCTTTCGATGTCCAAGGACTGCTTGACGGTGTTTCAAGAGATCTTACAACACTACCGCTTAGAGCGCAGAGTGTATCCACCACCCGACAAAAGTCTCACCAAGTCCCAGGCCCTGAGGTGGAGACAGCTGCAAACAAATACCCTCCCCAGCCCGGCCTTTCTGCGGCATATCTATCCCACCGTCTTCGACGGGAAGTGCGCCCGCTGCCCGCCACCAGACACCGCCGACGGGGGGACTGGCCCGACCAAGGCCATCATCGCACACTTGTTTTGGGAATGTCCCTTCGACCCTCCCTCGCCTACTCTACGGGACTTCGTCGCCCACCTTCGAGAAGGAGAAGAGGACCCGCTGGATCCCCCTTGGACCGTGCTTCTCCGAAGCTCAGACCCACATATCCAAGCCGAAGTGGTCTCCCGAGCGGATAAGATAGCGACGGAAATCACGAAGACCCTACAAGAAGCGAACGAGCGTCCGACGTTCGACTTGGCGTGAAGATCAGTGCATCTGCATCCTTTCCAGAACTAAGAAAAGCCACCTCGCTTGCATTCCTTCTTTTTTCAAGAACACAATTTTTTTGGGGGGGGAAGCCGCGGTTGGTGAACGTCTATCCTGCGGCTTCTTGATATGGTGTTCCAATAAAGTTGTTTCTCTCTCTCTCTAGTGTATAGTGTACGAGTATTGCTTTTGTATATTTCTCCCTTGCTGCTCTAGGTAAACTAGAGTAAAATAATTTAAAAACTGGTTTAACAGCCAGATCAACAAAGTGGTGTCCTGCGCTAACAACTGCGCTGCTGGGGACGTTTTTAGGTTTTATTGTGCATTATAAGGTTTTTTCAGCATTGCTCATCAAGACTACAATAACACGGCCGTGCACAATCTCTTAGGACCTTTCGTGTTAGTGTGTTACAAAACTTGCTCCTAGGAAGGTTTTTTTCTACTAATGCCGTTTACTCACCTGACTAAATATCTCACCTATAGCCCAGAAATTCTTAATCAACACTTACATTTTTCCAGGAGTTATCTGAGAGTAAAACAAGACAAAAAAGCACGCCTCGTTCCTGTCTTTTCTTTTAGAAACTTACACGGATTCAAATCGGATCTGAACTTCTTTCTTTTTACTTCCTTTTTTTTTTGTTGCACGAATACTGTTTAAAGGAGCGGTGCAACGATATTCAATTGGAATTTTTTTCACTTGACACGAGCTTACTGGCACACCTGGCACTCAAGAATACTCGCACGCAACGCCACTGGCCAAGAAACTCCTTTGTTGAGGTGTAATTTCAGAGACAAAAGCGATCATTTTCATTCAATCTCTCCTTTGCAAAATTTGATGACGTAACGCGGGGATCGCAGTACACCCAAGTGACGATATTTGAATGCGGTTCATAGATTGGACCCGAGCATTGCGTGGGCACTCGACTTGGGCTTGTGATAATTGCTAGCTCGAGAAGCATTGGGGTGGTGACCCGTGTCCAATTGCTGCAACGACGACAACAGCCGAGCCATAACAATGTCTGGAACTCAGCGCGTGTCCTGCGCTTTGCCAACCCCAGCGCGTGGCTATGATCAACACTGGCGGCATATAATCGGCTCCAGATCACGTGGCCACTTGTTCTGGCTGCGAGTTGAGGGGGTGAACGCTGCTGGTTTTTCTTAAATTTTTTTCTGGGACTTCTATTGCGTGGGGTGAAAAACGAACGCGTGTTTCATAGGTCATTAACGTTAGGGATCCGTTTTAAGCGGCATTTGCGCAAAGTACAAAAATT